AAGTGACAATTGTCATAATCGTTATTTTTAAAGTTTTTTGAATTTTTTTGACGAAGATATGTTAAAATAAGTATTAATAACATGTGTAAATATAAATTTAGTGAAGATGTACCATAGAAAAGTGACAATTGTCATAATCGTTATTTTTAAAGTTTTTCGAATTTTTTTGACGAAAATATGTTAAAATAAGAATTAATAACATGTGTAAATATAAATTTAGTGAAGATGTACCAATGAAAAGTGACAATTGTCATAATGGTTAATTTTAAAGTTTTTTGACTAAAATTTGTTAAAATAAGTATTAATAACATGTGTAAATATAAATTTAGTGAAGATGTACCATAGAAAAGTGACAATTGTCATAATCGTTATTTTTAAAGTTTTTTGATTTTTTTTGAAGAAAATATGTTAAAATCAGTATTAATAACATGTGTAAATATAAATTTAGTGAAGATGTACCAATGAAAAGTGACATTTGTCATAATTGTTATTTTTAAAGTTTTTTGAATTTTTTTGAAGAAAATATGTTAAAATAAATATTAAAAACCTGTTTAAATAAAAATTTAGTGAAGATGTACTATAGAAAAGTGACAATTGTCATAATCGTTATCTTTAAAGTTTTTTGAATTTTTTTGACGAAAATATGTTAAAATAAGTATTAATAACATGTGTAAATATAAATTTAGTGAAGATGTACCAATGAAAAGTGACATTTGTCATAATTGTTATTTTTAAAGTTTTTTGAATTTTATTGACAAAGATATTTTAAAATAAGTATTGATAACATGTTTAAATAAAAATTTAGTGAAGATGTACTCTAGATAAGCGAAAATTGTCATAATCGTTATTTTTAAAGTTTTTTGATTTTTTTTGACGAAAATAGTTAACTTGCATCGATATTGATTTTAAAATAGAAAAAAAAGTTTACCCAAATTTTAAACAAGATTGTCTGATGAAAATTGGTAAAAAAAATAATAATTTCTAAATTAGGATTAGATATTATGATATAAATATTGCATATTAATTTCTGACCCGATGAACAAATGTAATAAAATGCCTGCTCCTGTTTTTGGGGAAGAATCTATTATTACCATATGTGTTTCTATGGCATATACTCAGGCAATTTTAAATTTACAATCTATATTTTTACCCATTTACATCAAAGAAATTTTAAAAATAACGATTATGACAATTGTCACTTTTCTATAGTACATCTTCACTAAATTTTTATTTACACATGTTATTATTTCGTCAACAAAAATCAAAAAATTTAAAAAATAATGATTATGAAAATTGTCGCTTATCTAGAGTACATCTTCACTAAATTTATATTTACACATGTTATTAATTTAATACTAATTTTAACATATTTTCGTCAAAAAAATTCAAAAAACTTTAAAAATAACGATTATGACAATTGTCACTTTTCATTGTCTTCACTAAATTTATATTTACACATGTTATTAATACTTATTTTAACATATTTTCGTCAAAAAACTTTAAAAATACCCATTATGACAATGTCAATTTTCTATGGTACATCTTCACTAAATTTTATTTAAACATGTTATCAATACTTATTTTAACATATTTTCTTCAAAAAAATTCAAAAAACTTATAAAATAACGATTATGACAATTGTCACTTTTCTATGGTACATCTTCACTAAATTTATATTTACACATGTTATTAATACTTATTTTAACAAATTTTCTTCAAAAAAATTCCAAAAACTTATAAAATAACGATTATGATAATTGTCACTTTTCTATGGTACATCTTCACTAAATTTTCATTTAAACATGTTTTTACTACTTATTTTAACCTATTTTCTTCAAAAAATTCAAAAAACGTATAAAATAACGATTATGACAATTGTCACTTTTCTATGGTACATCTTCACTAAATTTTTATTTAAACATGTTTTTAATACTTATTTTAACATATTTTCTTCAAAAAAATTCAAAAAACGTATAAAATAACGATTATGACAATTGTCACTTTTCTATGGTACATCTTCACTAAATTTTTATTTAAACATGTTTTTAATACTTATTTTAACATATTTTCTTCAAAAAAATTCAAAAAACTTTAAAAATAGCGATTATGACAATTGTCACTTTTCTTTGGTACATCTTCACTAAATTTATATTTACACATGTTATTAATACTTTTTTTAACAAATTTTCTTCAAAAAAATTCCAAAAACTTATAAAATAACGATTATGATAATTGTCACTTTTCTATGGTACATCTTCACTAAATTTTTATTTAAACATGTTTTTACTACTTATTTTAACCTATTTTCTTCAAAAAAATTCAAAAAACGTATAAAATAACGATTATGACAATTGTCACTTTTCTATGGTACATCTTCACTAAATTTTTATTTAAACATGTTTTTAATACTTATTTTAACATATTTTCTTCAAAAAAATTCAAAAAACGTATAAAATAACGATTATGACAATTGTCACTTTTCTATGGTACATCTTCACTAAATTTATATTTACACATGTTTTTACTACTTATTTTAACCTATTTTCTTCAAAAAAATTCAAAAAACGTATAAAATAACGATTATGACAATTGTCACTTTTCTATGGTACATCTTCACTAAATTTTTATTTAAACATGTTTTTAATACTTATTTTAACATATTTTCTTCAAAAAAATTCAAAAAACGTATAAAATAACGATTATGACAATTGTCACTTTTCTATGGTACATCTTCACTAAATTTATATTTACACATGTTATTAATACTTATTTTAACAAATTTTCTTCAAAAAAATTCCAAAAACTTATAAAATAACGATTATGATAATTGTCACTTTTCTATGGTACATCTTCACTAAATTTTTATTTAAACATGTTTTTACTACTTATTTTAACCTATTTTCTTCAAAAAAATTCAAAAAACGTATAAAATAACGATTATGACAATTGTCACTTTTCTATGGTACATCTTCACTAAATTTTTATTTAAACATGTTTTTAATACTTATTTTAACATATTGTCGTCAAAAAAAATCAAAAAACTTTAAAAATAGCGATTATGACAATTGTCACTTTTCTTTGGTACATCTTCACTAAATTTATATTTACACATGTTATTAATACTTTTTTTAACCTATTTTCTTCAAAAAAATTCAAAAAACTTATAAAATAACGATTATGACAATTGTCACATTAAAATATTATCCTTAAAAAGATCATATAAAATCATCAAAAAAGTTTCATAAAATCCACCTCATTTAATAAAAAATAGATAATTTTAAATGATAAAAAAATTATAAAAGATTTCACCTAAAAGATTGTTTATTTATCTAATAAAATTTACAATATAATTCCTCAATAAAAGATGTATTTATAAAGAAGATTGTAAAAATCACTAATAAATTATATTAAAAAGAATATTACAATTTTACAATATAGCAGCATATTATTTTTTTTATTAAAATAACATCAAATAAATAAATTTATTTTCATTTCAAAATATAATAATATAAATAAAAAATATTAAATCATATCATGTTTATTTGTTGATAATAATAAAATATTTACATTAAATATAAATAAAATAAATTTATTTTACTAAAATAAATAAATAATAATTAATACTAAGCATCGATGCAGAATTTTGACTAATTTAATTTTAGCAGATATATATAGGCTTAGCCAATTTTTAGGCTTAACCTAATTAGGCTTAGCCGAATTTTAGTTTTAGCCGATTTTTAGGCTTACCTAATTAGGCTTAGCCGATTATTAGGCTTAGCCTAATAGGCTTAGCCGATTTTTAGGCTTAGCCTAATTAGGCTTAGCCGATTTTTAGGCTTAGCCTAATTAGGCTTAGCCGATTTTTAAGCTTAGCCTAATTAGGCTTAGCCGATTTTTAGGCTTAGCCTAATTAGGCTTAGCCGATTTTTAGGCTTAGCCTTATTAGGCTTAGGCGTAGTTTTTAGCCGATTACGCAACACTATGTCTGAGCAAAAATAGAAAATATGGATTTTTTTTGATATATAATATATAAATCAATCATAATATAGAGGAATTGAAATTGGAGAGTGTGGGGGGGGGGGTTAGTTGGCGCAGCCAGGTCATCATATGAAGATAAAAATTATATCATAATTTAAAATACCATGACCAAATTTTTTTAAATCTCTATTCTCAAAATCGATTTTAGCAAAAATAGATTTTGCGTGTAGAGTCACCCCTAAAACTAGTCGGATAAAGTGTTTATTAAGTCCCCTGTCTATAAGATAAATTTATATTTTTTTATATCTTTACCATGATGTAAAATGTTTTATTGATTTAAATTTACAGTATAAAAATATTCATATAAAAATAATTATAAATTATGGCATAATGTATGAGATTTATAATCAAATCCTACTTAAATTTTAATTTAGCTATAAAAGGAATTGTAAATATGTATTTGCAATTACTTTAAAAAATCACGATTACATGTTATTAATACCGTTTTTAGAAAAAGGAATTATTAAAATTAAATACAAAAATTTTATAAGTAATTGTAATTAGGAATTAATTATTTTGAGTTGCCAACCCTTGTTCAATAGTATACATATTTTTTAGATGAGAGTTTAAATTTGCCTTGGCTCCAGTATTAAACATTTTTTAAAGAAATAAAGAAAACTAAGGGTATTTTCTGCATTTTGTAAGTGTAGATTGTACCCTAGTTCAAATATTTCAAACTCGATGTATAGCAGTTCAAATCTAAAAAATATATAAAGATAAAAATGGAAATTCAAAATAAATTCATTCTGATAAAGATAAAAAACAAAAAATTGATGAGCATCTCAAATGAAGATCATTTAAGCGCTTTTGTTTATCTCATTGAAATTTTGAAAATAAATTAATTTCCAAATAGAACTTATATTATAATATATTATTTTTGTATAATTTTTTTTTTATTATGAATGGGGAACATAATAAATATTTAAAAAAATTTACATATAATATTTATTACTTTTTAAGTAATGAGTAACCGTTCCTTTTTTTACAAGGTAACGAATAACGGTAAAGCTTTCCTTTTTCAAACTTAACGAGTCACGAGTAACGCGCGTTTCTTTTTTGAAGTAACGTTTAGAGCACTTTAAATGCATTCCTTAAAAAATTTCCGCTTACCTTAATCAAAATAAAAAATTACTCAATAATTAATAAAACCAAATTACTTCGGATCAACCAATACTATGCCCTCTAAATTCACAATTGCCATTTAAATGGTATTAATTCATGTTTTAAATTCTGAAAAATTGCCACATAAAATAATGTGTGTTACTCTTGTCTAAAATCAATTTAATAAGAATTTAAAAACTTTATATATTTATAGGATAAAGTATGCAATTAATTTTGTTACTATGGTATGCTAAATAAGCATATTTTCCTCTGTGAAAATAAAAATATTAAATTTTTTTAGCCAGTGATGTATGATTTAATTATTTATATTAATATACAATATAGTTTAGATTAATGAAGCGGAATAATGTTTCCCTGTACCCAATGTGCCCCGGTTTCCCTTAGTAAAAATAGAATTATTATAATTTTTCACTCCATTATATGAATACTAATTAAAGGTTGTGAAGAATTGTTGGAATATAGAATTATAAAACTTGCAGAAGAATCACCTCTATTTAGAAAATATATTTTCTCTCATTCAATATTTTTAAGGAATGTTTCAGTATTTATAAATAATCAAGGTTTGAATGATTTAAAACGAATTTTGATATTAGTGCTCTATCTAGAAACAGTTGTTTTTTGTGTCAAAATTAAACAACACATTTTTAAGCCATTAACCACAATTAGAAACCTGAAGAAGTTTTTCACGACCGAGCCCGACCTGAATAAAATTATTTTAGAATTTAAATTTAAATATTATAATTTTTAAAAGTAAAAATTATATGAATGTAAGAATAGTTAGGTGTATGATAAGATAATTATTTTTTTTTATTGAAAATTTATATTCAAGTATAGCTCAAGTTCTATTTAAATTATTTCTTTTATGTATTTTATTTTTTTATAAGACACTATCTATATATTATAGATATAGATTAAGCTATTATTCAGCAAATTTTGGGCGGCAAGATAAATATTCAAAAGATTCGGGAGTTGTTATCAGAAACTTTAGCAAACTCATAATACACCCTAATTATAATAAGTTAAAAAGATTCGATTCCGACATTGCGTTAGTAAAATTAAATGAAAAGGTAAAAAAAAATATTTTTTATCTATTTTAATCTTCAAAATTACAATATATGATTTCTACTACTATTTATGATCCTTTGTTGTATTTATGAAACTTCTTTAGAGTCAACCTTTTTAAAAAGAGTTAATAGGCAAAAAAATCTTTAAATTTTAGAGTTATACATATATCACCTGCTTGTCATATATATAAATGCCATATAAAATATTATTTGTAATATTACTTACAACTATAGCCGTCATGTGGTATTTTTATTTAGCTAAAACTATTATAAGGGTGGTAAGATTAATCTTTTTAAAGAATATAATAGGCTTCTTGTAATTGTATTTATTGATTATATGAATCCATTAATATTTAATAAACTTAAACAAATCATTTTTAAAACAATTTTTACTAAGATATCATTTACAGACAAAATTCAGCCAGCAAGACTTCCAAATAATGACGTTAATAATTTATCGAATGATGCCTATTGCTGTGTGGCTGGTTGGGGAAAAACAGGAGGTCACAATATTTTTTTACAAAGTTAATCAATTTTCCTTTAAAAGGCTATGGAAATGAAAACGCTTTGAATCAAGCCTGTATCGATTATATTGATACTATAACTTGTAATAGTTCAAACATATATAACGGACATTTAACAAATAATATGTTCTGCGCAGGTTTTGCTGAAGGAGGTACGGATAGTTGTTCGGTAATTCTTATATATAAGTCAGTCGCTTCTAAGCTTATATTAATATAATCGGTCGAGACTAACATGGGATAGTGGGGAAATAGCGATTGTCTCACTTGATCTCCAATCTTTCTTCATGTTTTTAAAAATATTATAACATAATGGCCGGCTATTTAGCCGGCTTTTAACTAAATAGCCAAAAAAAGAATTTATTAAGTAAGAAGAAATTAAGATTTTAAGCATGCCATTCATTTAGTTTTCTAAATAATGATTGTATAATCAGTATAAATTATATTTATATGAACAAACATGCAAATATACCATAATAGACAGTCTTTCTGCAAATTGTATATCTTATAAAATATATGTTGCATAAATGTTGAGTTCATGTCCGCGTTCAAATATTTCTTATATATATTTTTTTACTTTTTATTTATACTATAAAATAATTATATTTTTTTAAAAATTAATAATTCTTTAAAAAATAAATAAAACATTAGGGTGACTCAGGTGGACCATTAATGTGTTTAGAAAGTGATTGGCTTTTAACGGGGATTACTTCTTGGGGTGAAAGTTGTGGAACGAAACCGGGTGTATATACCAAAGTATCCAACTTTTATAAATGGATAACGTCCAAGATCTCAACGAATTAAAAAAATTTATAATTTTCCTCTACCCAATTTTTTTTTTAAAAATCGATTTTTAAATTTTTTTTAATTAAAACAAATTTTTTATTTTATATAGATTTTTTTTAATAAATAAGATAATGTGTATGTTTTTAAATAAATTAAAAAGATTATAAATATATTATAATTATAGTTGTTTGTTTAGTAATGAAAAGCGATTTACTTATATGTTTTATATATATATATTTATTAACCATTGGGATAGTGAATTAAATTATTAGTTAAAGGTATATATGTAGACATATAAGTTTAAGGTTAAAATTGTATCAAATTCAAAATACTCACACATGTTAGAATACAATTTTTAAAATCTTCTCCAGTGAATTATTTAAAATTTGCCATAGAATCAGTCATCCATAGAAGAGCAGCAAAAATAATAAGAAACAGTATAAATACTATGCTATAGCCCACAAATTAGATTATGAGGAAAATAATAGCTGGGCCGTTTTACCCCACTTTACTCGCATTATCCTCGAAAAGACCAATGACTATATATATTTTTAAACTAGACTTTAATAATTGATTAGTATACATAGAAAGAAAGCAATACAAGCGAATGCGAGATGACCTCCTTTCTTACATATTAACGGATCTGAACCCATACACTTGGATGCACCCAGAGGAACTGAAACAGTTAGCTCTTGTTTAAACATATTTATAACTACAATTTGTTTCTTCTATTCCTTGACTTATTCAATGGTTGTTTGCAATCTTTTTACATCACGACTAATTATTCTTTCGAGAAACATAATTAAGGATTGTTTAGAAGCCATTTTAATTATCAAATTTTCTTTCTTGTCATGGTTGCAAGAATTCCTTCCTTCCAAATCTGGGGGTATGGGTAACTGATCCACAATTTATTTATCTCTAGCACCATATATCTCTTCGCGCCTTTTTCCCAATGAGTAAATAAATCAGTTGTGCCTCTGACCAGTCATAAATCTAGACAGATTTTACCATCTATAAGGTTAATATTTTACCCTGCTCATTTCCCGCATCAAGCTAAAAAAGATTTGAACTCTCCCCTAATTGCACAGTTTATATACTTTCTCCATGAACCTGCAATCAGAGGCACTTACCAATTTTCTTTTTATCAACAACTATAGTATGGATAAATGGCTCGATGCCATCATCTGTCAAAACTTAGATACACATCTCTCATCTTGAAAAACTCAGGATACCATTAGGACTCCGCCTTAACTGCACTTTTGTCATTCCACACTCATGCATTCTTTGCAACACTGGTTGACATTAAAAGACATCATTCCTTACACTGCAGATTTTCTAACAGTGAGCACTTACGCCATTTGTCAATTAATTCTAATTCCTAAGGTACTCTTATATTCCTTCCCCTTTAGAACCAGTTAGACTAAATATTTCTGACAATAAAATATCAGATGGTGTCATTCTTATGTTTTGGTCGAAAGGACAATATTTGGTTTGGGATTTTAGCTGTATTGATGCGTTTTCTAAATCGAAAACAGAATACACATATATTAAGTTTGCCAAATCATCCAAACGCAACAAATATTTGAAATAGGAAAAAGTTATTTTATAACTTTCTTTACCACCCTTTGAACTTTGGCGAAAAGCAATCATTTTTTAAAAAAATTTTACGCAAAAGAAAATAATGAACATAGGAGACCCTAATTAAAATTTATGCCTTAGACAAATATTTTAAAAATATTTAAACATAATCATATCTATAGAAAATTAATAATTCTTTCATTTAATAAAATAGATTTATATGTTGGTAGATAATTAATTTAGTTTCTATTTGATAAAAATTAATTAAAAACTATAAAAACATGTTTCTGAAAATTGTTAATATAAGAAATATTTACATTGTTAAATGTTAAAAATTAACTTATAACCAAAAACATTTTAATTTATGATGATATTCACATTGGTTACTTTTTAAAAGAAATTGTTTTTTATTTTATTTTTCGATTTTATATTTTGGCGAAATCTGCTGAATATTATTATTCAAATAATGTAATATATATTTTAGCTTTACCTATTTCTTATTTTTTATCAAATTATGAAGTAATTATATTAGTATCAAAACGAGACCAAATGTAGTCATAACTTTCTAAAATACAGTAGTTACTGAGCTATAGAAAAAATAGACTTACTATAATAGTTTATGGTATCGAGATTAAAGTCGACATTTCAATAATAACTTAAGTGTCGAGGTCTATAAAAAATTAGGAATACTAAGTACTGGAGGGGAATTATAAAGTTTTGTAACTATAATTATAAAACTTAGAAAAATCAGTCGAAGTATTTATAAAAATGAAAACATAATTGAGTTCAATATGACGACCCATGTAGTTAAGGAAATTTTTTATATTTGGACTATGAGATTTTGTAAATTATGTAAATGATTGCCAATATAAAAATAATGAAAGAATTATTTGGAAACTAAAAATTTCGTCCCTTTTTAATGAAATTAAGTACAAAATTATTAAAAAAGATAATGATACTTCTTAATAGAAATTATTATTATTGGGAAAAAATTTTGATAATACCAATATAAATTTTGTCAATGAAATTAATATCTATTTTTTCCATAAATTTAGAAAATTTTTTGAAAGTATTGAGCTAAATTCTTCCAATCAGAATATTTTTGTTGCTTTCAGCGATAATAACATCAAGATTTTTAGTAATCGTCATAACTTACGCTGATATGAGTTGTACCTATTTTGATGTGATTAGCATCGTATCCTGTTAATTGTAAATTAGATTTCTTAATATATCTGCTTTCTTTGCTATGGTAGATTTTTTAATGGGTAGAGGGGGGGGGGGGGTTAAAAATTTTAGGGGTTCGCCCCCTAACCCCATTTTACTCGCCTCAGGCCAAGTCAATTATTATATATTATTGATTTTTCCGTGGATAGTTTATATAATTTCCTAAATTTGAAACTCTAATTCTAAAATTTGACAATGTTTTGTGCTTTATTAATTTCTGGCTTTAACAAGTAACAACGCAGTCTGTATAAAGGAAAAAATTATTAGTAACAGACCAGCCTTAAGATTAAAAAGCGACTGAAAAATTCAATAAATTTAATCAATGTATAAATCATAATTATTTATTAATTTATGGTAGACATTATAAAGGGAAAATAAAATTGCCAAAATAAATATCGTGCTATAATCAATGACATATTTGGCTATAATGGAATAGATAAAGAAAACTACATATTTGGCGAGTGCTAATATTTATTGCCTGACTTGTAATTAAATCCTCATTCAAATATGAGAACCACGAAAAGAAACTAAGTTATAAACAAAATTAAAACTATGACTCACGCTTTGAGCTTAAAGTGAGCAGCTTTTGGAAACCCTAATTCTGAAACTTATACCAAATCATTAGGTAGGTCTTCATTAGTATATTATATTGCTTTATTCTGTGGTAGTTGGCTTAATGAGGAAAAGAACTATTGATAAAAAAATAAAAAATTGTCAAAATTAGCATCATACCAGAACGGATAATATAAAAGTTTGAACTATCTTTTGCATTAATATTTAGTGCCTTATTTTTAAATCAATTTCGTAGCCGTTTAAAAAATATATCCTGAAAAATGAGTATGATATAACGTCTTAATAGTATCCAAACATCTGGAACTCTGAAATTTATATCAATAATTTTATTTTATACTTTTTTAGTTCAATCCGTTTTGTAGATAGTTTAAAGAAAAACATTTTTAGCAAAATATAAAAAAATCGTCATGATTGACATCATGCTAGAAAAATTTTTTAGAAGCAATGAACAATATTTAATGCATGATCATTATGTGCTAATTCAACAATCAGTTTGTCCAGTCAATAGATAAAAACCAGTTCGACATAAAATTTCGGCACGTAAGGCTGAATCTTAAATAATCTTAGTTTTAAAAATCAATTTCGTAAAAATACATTAAGATTTCTCTTTTTTCAATTCAAAATATTTTTAAATCTTATGATTTTATAATCTTCATAGATGTTATTTTTTCTAAGTTGTTTAATAAATATCAGAGCTGTTGATGCTCTTTAAATAAATCTTGATACAAATATAACATTTTAAAAGGTATCTAGATACAGATACATTAAACAAAAACCTTTATTATGAGCACAAAATATGTAAACAAGATAATAAAAAAAATGTCAATTAAGGGAGAATAGAATTTTGATAAAATATTTTCTCAAAGAAAGTATTAGTATTATCTATACAATAATTTCATAAGGTATCTGCATGTGGTTGATCCTGCAGGTTTTTCAAATTGGTAATAGATTTTGCAGCAGATTGATATAAGGCCAATAAGCTTAAATAATGGGTGAGTTATCGCTGCTAATATGCTATGCTACTTTCGTCACACAGTGAAAAATATCTATATTTTAAGAAATGATAATTAACATTATTATACGGAGCTGAGGAAACTGAAAAAGTAAAAGGTTCTCATTTACTGTCGCATAGTTGTATGTTTTTTTAAATTTCATTTATAAACTTTTTGAGTAAAAAAAATTAATTTTAAAAGAAACGAAGGATCGAATAATTAATAAAATAATCTCGATAACAATCAACAATTTAAGAGAAAATAAATCAGAGTAAATTGCCAAATTAGGATCGAATCCAGGAATCTAGTATCGTAGATTCTTTGATCTCGATCCTTTAACAACTCTGCTCATACTTGAATTTTAAAAAAGCTGATTTAGGAAGGACAACATGATTTATGAAACCTTTACAATTACTCTGGAACACAAATATGGCTGATTGTATAATTTTAATAGAGAATCAATAAAAAATATAAACCTATAATCTTAGAAAAAAGGTAGCATTGAGACATAAAGATCCTTAGAAATAACTCTTGGGTGATATTAAAATCTGGAAGATCTGAATCTATTGCTTAAATCTAATTAGGGTTAGATGAAACCAATTTGAGAAACTTCAATTATATTTTAGGTTATGTAATTAAGCTATGTAACTA